CTTTCTATATTTGATATCTCGCACATCGTCTCTCCTGGTTTCGGTGGCATGTAATTGATTATGGTCAATCGTCAATCGATTTAGCTTGTTCGAATTAGCTATTTACTAGGTCTAATTTTTTCTTTTTGCTTGGAGTACCACGTGAAAAACCTTAAAGCGTTATATGCACACTGACTTGGGCCAGGCCAGAACTCCATCACAAGAATTTAGATCCTGAGGAAGCCGATGGCAGTTTTACATCATGACTATATGCAATGGTTCTCTGTACCCATGCATCAAGAACACGGGACTCGTATATTACCTTTGTAGATCTTAGACAACTCATTCAACGCACTTCAGATACCTACCCTTCTACTAACGAAGTCTTTACCCGAATGAGAAAAGGGGAAGAAATCAACAAGTCCGATAATTATGCCTCTAAAATACAGTAATACATTGAATCGAACGAATTGATCCGAAAAAAAAACCTCCACCACCTCTGCACAGACGAGCCAGGAAGAGGAAGGGGGAGAAGGGTAGCATAGACTGTTGTCGCATCAGTGTCGAGTTTCTTTTGCCGCTAGATGAAAAGAATCAATCGATAACATGGACTCATCATAAACATGACAAGGGATACATGATATGCTGAGATGATGGCATGTGGTGTTCGTTATCGTCAAGTCATCCAATCCATTCACGTTTCATGCACGGGGCCGCTTCACAAGACCCTCGGGGGATCCATTACAGGTCCACTGGGCGAAGGGTTATGGAGGGTGGAAGGGCAGGGTAAGCAAGGACGGCTATTGGAGTATGGGATGGATTTTGCAGTTCAAAGACATGGACATGTTGCTTATTTGGTTGGCATTACACTCACAGGAAGATTTTCAAAAAAGCGCAAACGGAAAACACCAGATGCAGCCCGTCGCTTCCCCTCCCTCAGTAAATGATTCGAACAAAACAAGAGTTAATGAAAAGGGAAAGTAAAAGGAAGAAGTGAAGATAAACAAGGAAATAGAAAGTAAAAGAGAAAAAAAAAAAAAAGAAAAAGGAATAAAAACACCGACCCTGACGGGAGCAGAAGTACCTTCCATATAAAGAGATAGGGAAAATAACATATTCAGCGCAAAGGAAAAGATATCACTCGGAGTCGCTGGAGGTGGTATGCGGGGGAGGAAATGACGCTCTGCATATCGTAAGGCTCTTTCGGGTGACCTGTTGTATCTGCTGCTTCCGACCGTCTAATGCACTGGCCATCGATGATGCGGGGGATCTGGATCCGGTCTCGTGTGGTGATGAGTGGGTGGGTATGTTGTGTTTATCTCCGTCCGAACCTGCTGCACATGGAAAAGCTCGTATGTCTTACTTCTTCTTTTGCTTTCGCGGAGGAGTGACGGGCCTGTTTGAGCTCATGCCCCCGTAAACGTACTTTTGTTTCTTTTCTGCTGGTTTCAAGATCTGCGCGGAACGGGTTAGCTTCCTGCATCGTCACATTGAGTGGGGGCAACGGGAGTGGCAACATACCTGGAAGGAACAGAGTAGACTCTCGTCGACACTCATCATGGCACCAGCGTTGTCAAACTCTCCACAATAGTTGGGGGCACTGAAAAGCGTGACGAGTTGACGCTTGGAGAAGAACTCATAGCCATCTTCGACCACTTGGTGTGCACGGCAAATCAAATCCATATCATGTTTCTGGAGGAAACGGGAGACGACGTCGGGACCAAACGTGAATGAGACACCTCGGTCGTTTTCACTCCAGCCCGTGATGTCCTTATCCGGATCGGACCACAGAAGATCGCACAGGAGACCGCAGTCAGGAATCTGTTCTCGTTAGCAGGCCAAGCCTTGAGCTTCGGGAGCCAGGCGAGAGGATTTGGATAGATTGGGAGAACCCATCGTGACACCTGGCTGAGCTGCAAGAGGGCCGAGCAAAATCGCCCTCGAACAGACAACCAGGACGGGTGGGGGTGGGGTAACGGGGAGGCACTTACATCAGTGGGACGCATCACACGACGAATCTGCTCCATGGAGTTCAGATCGGGGCTCAGACCACCGTGCATGGTGAAGATCTTCTCGTCAATGATGGCCGCAATGGGGAGGCAGTTGAAGCAATCGGTGAAAGTCTTCCACAGCTTGATGTTATACCGCCGCTTACATTCATCGTAGAAGCCGTAGATACGGTTAATGGACGCGCATTCGTGGTTTCCACGAAGAACGAAGAAGTTTTCGGGGTACTTGATCTTGTAGGCCAGGAGTAGACAGATCGTCTCGAGGGACTGCTTGCCACGATCCACGTAATCTCCGAGGAACAGGTAGTTGGCCTCGGGCGGGAATCCACCGTATTCGAACAGACGCAGAAGATCGTAGTATTGGCCGTGAATATCACCGCAGATCTGATCGCGCCAGCGTGTTAGCCGTCAGGGACAATGCCATTGTTACCCGAGATTCCGGCTCAGGAGACAGGGCCGCGGCGTTACCTTGATTGGCGCTTCCAACTCTAGCAGGATGGGTTGCGAGATGAAAATTTCCCGAGCCTTGGTGCAGAGATAGCGAATCTCCGATTCCAACAACTGGACCTGCTTGCCCGGGCGGCTACCCCTCACTTCCAACAATCTATCAATGATCGAATCCAAATCCACTTCCTGATCAGCCATGGCGACGGGGCTCTAACGAGAGACGACGGGAGCGAAAGAAAAACAAAGAGTAGATAATGCACACAACCGTAGGCAACGACGGAAAGAAAGGGAAAAAAAAGAAAAAAGAAAAGAAAAGGAAGGATAAAGAGTAGTTCGCGAAGCGCTTGTTACGATGACGCGGCGTCTATACTGTGATAACCACACGATTAGCATCGTTCTCCCGTCATGACGGATAGAAAATTTTGATAAATCTGGTCAGGGCCCGGCGAAAAACGCGTGAACAATGCGCTCGGGAGATTTCTTGCTCGTCGTGGTTGAGACAGCGAGCGATGAAAGAGGGGTGGAGCGCTTACCAAACGAATCTAAAGGGAACAACAAGATAGGGAAACGAAAACAGGCCGAATGGCCTCGTACAATGGGGAAATCTGGCGAGGAGCCAGACGAGGTGTGAATATCAAACACTCCCCTTCAGATCGTAGATGACGCGCGGTGAGAGCGAGGTGATGCGAATTCCGGGAGATGAGACGAAGCCTCAAAGACGGTGGAGCAACACGGAAAAAATAAAGAAGTTGACCAAGAGTCTTTGGCGGGAAAACTCGACGGGGCTATTCTTTTTCCCTTTTGGGAGAAATGAAATGGGATGGAATGGCCGAAAACCCGTGCAGATTTCGGAGGGTTGAGATGGGAAAGCTTGCTCGAAAAGCGAAAGCGATCTGGTGGTGGCGTGAAGGGGTTGTTGTGGAAGGGATTTGTTGAGAGAGCGAGAGCGAGAAGCGTCGGCAATCAAGGGATCTTTTTCCTGTTCCGCTCGGACGGCTGAAAAATTTTGATAATTCGGCCTAGATTGGGGACCTGTTTGGGCAGCAGACTGAGAATGAGAACTTTTCCTTTTGCTTTTTTTTCTTCTTTTCCTTGTGTTGAAATCTTGAAGACGAGCGAGGAAGAGGGAGCGAGAGAGAGGGAAGAGGAGAAGGACGAAGAGGAGGAGTGAGTGGCCAGGGTCGAGACGGGGCAGGAGATCAAAGGGCAGCAGAGGAACTCACCAGCTTGACCAGTGAGAGGGAGAAAAGGAACGAGTTGGTCAACCTGAGAGAAAAAAAGGTTTCCTTCAACCGCTTCGCCGCCCGGCCATCGCCGCCCGCTTATTGGTCCCGCGTCGGTTTGGGAAGAATGTATTCCTCTCCACCTCTATTCATTCATTCATGCATTCATTCAACTTCATCTTCAACTTCAATTCTTTCATCCTTCATACGAACTAAAACTGGACAATCATGACGACGGGATTCCCTTCTCTTCTTCCCCCCCAGCAATCTTCAGACCAGATCCCTTCCACCCGACACGGAATATGTGCTATCAATGCCTCCTCCTATCTGATCCCCGTCTGATCGTCGTCTATCGCCACCCTCCGATCGCGCGCAGTCTTCTCTTTCCCCCCCTCACCAGTAGGAGAAAACATGAAATCCGAGCCATGCCCGCCCATCAAATCACATTTTCTCCGGTCAGTAGATGTTGTGCATAAAGCACTTACACGCCTTAGTCGCCTAGCATTTCTTATCCGGTTACGCCTACGCGGAATCTATGACGCACTGCATCCTCGTCAACGCCCAACGCGCTTTTGCATTCAATCACTACTGCTAGTATTGGATTCACGGAGAGACTGGTTCACCCTCGGCTCTCTCGCGCGCGCGCGCAAAATAACTCGTCGCACATTCTTCTTTTCATGTCTCATGCATTAGATCCGAACTTCATCACTGCTCTGCGTAACTCCGAAACTCGAGCAGGGGGTAATTTGGGATGATAGGAGAAGGAAACAACAGATAAGAGGTATACATCAAGCAATTCAACACAATGGCATCTCAACAGGTGTCAGTCGAGCCCTCTCAGTTAATCATTAGAGAGGATGAAGAATAGAAGAAGAGTTAAAAGAGGCGAAGAAAAAAAAGAGATCAGGAAATCATCAAAAGGCTGGATAAAAAAAATCTTCTGAAACGCCTGTGAACACCGTAAACCCTTCACCAAATACAATAATACATGCGGTCTAGAGACGGTGAATCTCGTGAATAAAGTGTCTCCCATAACATGGACCAGCCTGAAACGGTCGAATGCAAGGTGTACGGTAGATAGGAGAGTTGGGAGAGGGTAACAATATCGTAGTCGTAAAAAGCAGAAATGTTCAGACATCCGGCCCGCTATCTCGAAAGGCCATAAAACGCCACCAAATGCACTCAGTGGCCAACTGCCACTGCCACAAGTAGGAAATGTGACGGGGATGATTGTAATAGTCAAAAGAAATTGATCGGCGAAAGGAACCAGGTAAACGAGTCAACTCGAACGACTTTTTGTGCTGCTTGGTGCTACACCAACCAGTAGATACGGATGGGCAACTCAGGGTCGGCCTCCGCTCAGAATGGGCAGATTGTTTGCCCGGGTGAGTGCCTCCGCTGGGATAATTGCTGAATCCCCAAGGTTCACACCCGTGCGAGGAACGTTGATGTCCCGCGGTGGCTGATCCCAGCCACGGTCTCCCAGCGCATGGAGCCAGGTGTTGCCGACGTCGTGCTTCAGAGCCTCCAGTTGCCGCCGGTAGAACTTTCCATCCACGTTCCAGTCCAAGTCCTGGACTGCCCGAGGTATGAAAGACTCGTTCATCGGCTGGCTGGAGACGCCTGGATCACTGTCGACCTTTTCTGGGCTTTGAACTTTCGCAGATCCGACCTGAGGTCCACCATCAGATCTCCGTTGACGGTCGGAAGACGGTGTCACAAATGGATCAACGGGTAATTGGATATGCTCAACAGGAAGGACAGAAGGCACCATCGCACCTGGGGTTTCTTTACCATCAGTTGAGACCTTCTCCACAGACGTGTTGACAATCCTCCTTCGATGACCTTTCTTCCGGCGAGTAGACTCAACGCCATATTCATTTGGTAGTGTTCGTCGTGCATAACCATTATCTCCCTCAACGGGCCCGGCAGCTGCGGCTCCCGGCCCTGCGGTGTTGGCTGGTTTGCTGACGACGGCCGAGTGGTCCGCGGCAGCTGATCGTATGACCGGGGTACCTTCGGGCTCGGCAACTCGATCAACTAGCTGCTTCCTCTCCGTGTACCCTGGCCCGGATCCATCGATGATGATGTCCTCCGAGTATCCCGGAGTGCGACGGAAGAGATTGAAGATTACAACGCGGTAGCCGGAATGCGTTTTCACGAAAGGATTTCCAGACACCCAAATCTCCCGTATCTCAGGGAGACTCGTAAGTCTGGCAATCTCAGTGGGGTCGGTCAGGTCGTTGTCTCGGAGGTCCAACCGTTCCAGGGAGAGTAGTCTTTCAATCCCCGCAAGCGAGCGAAGCCGGTTGCCGCGAAGGTTAAGAGCGGTTATAGCGGGAAGAGGGTTGCGAGACAGGGAGTGGAGAGATTCTATCATGCAGTTTGAGAGATTAAGGGCCCGCAAAGCAACCAGCGTTGCGAGGCTGTCCGGGACTTCGGTGAAGAGATTCGCTGACAGATCAAGCGAGTACAGCGTATTAGCGACCGGAGCTAGCCCGGCGGCCGTGATGGAGGTTAAAGAGTTGTCTGGGAGACCCAGATGGCGCAAAAACTGCCATTTGGACGGCGGAAGACCGCCAGCAGCCAGGTTCGAAGACTTCCATTACGATGACCGGTGTTATCACTTGAGTTTGAACTACCCGATCCGGTGCGTCGTATGCGCCGGCTATGGCGGTGGGAAGAGTGTTTGGAGCTTGTCGGGCGCGTGGGCGAGATACTTCCCGTTCGTGCATGGCCTCTAGCACCTTCTGATCCTACTCTAAGCATGGGGGCCGCCTGGGGACTGGTGCTGGTACCGAACGCCGTATCGGCCACCGGGGATCCTGGAGCAGAGATGGAGCCGGAGAGGTCGGACTTGTAGACCGGCTGAGGGTATGTATGCCCACTCCACCCCAGGACAGGCGATTGCTGATTCTTCGACGATCGCCGCCGGCGCTTGTCAATGTCGTCCAACACTATCCGTGTCAACAGATCCGCCGGATCTTCGAGCTTGGCTCTTTTCACAGTAAGGGTGCGTAGTTGCTCAGATAGTCGGTCCCAGCCGTAGAACGAGCGAAAGTCTATATCAATTATCTCTAGTCCACCCAAATTTTTAAAGGAGTGGAGAGGGACGGCGGTATCAAAAGGAAACTCTTCGTATCCGCGGATCAGGCGGGCACGGCGATCAGGGGCTAGACGCAAGCACGGGATTTTAGTGAAAGCAGAATATAGATATTTAAGATCTGCTTCTAGGGCTGCTTTGGCCTTCTCTGACTTGGAGACGGAGTCCTTCGAGCCGAGCCCGAATGATGACCAGAGAGCACTCATACCAGACATGACACTACGGACACTTGATACAGAGTGGATAGAATCCCTGTCGCCCCTGGACCGTTGAGGCTTATTCAGGAACGAAACATAGGACTGCGACACGTCTGTATGAATATTCTCCAGTCTAACATTCATAGGGCCCACGGCTATAGAGAGATCTTCGAACCGGGAGAGGAGATAGAAGAGGTGGTGAGGGGTCAGGGTAAGTTTAGCGGGTTTGATAGTTTGAGAGGTGAATTTCAAGGCACCGAATGACAAGCTGCCGCCAAAGCCGACGAGGCCGAGCTCGTAGACGAGCTCGACTGAGTGGATGCATTTTTGCTAGGCTGGCGTTTCAACTGAAGCGCGTTGGCGAGTGCCTTCTCATGGGTTCGTACGAAACTGGCGAGATTCTGCATAACAACCACGGGTTAGTGAATAAGGAAGCTAGCCTATTGACGAGCCCGGACAAAGGATGAACAAGGTCTGTGTCATGCATGGAATACGAACCTTTATGAAAAGCTGTCCATCTTCATTGTTCAGCTTCTCCATTACGGACAATGCCTCGCCCAACGAGACACGATCACGTCAGGCGAACTTTGAAGAGGAGCGCTCAACAACTACTCGCAGTGTTCAAAACAGAAGTCGACATTTTGCTGACAACCAGGGAAAGTGAGACGCGAGAGGACCTGTTACGTCAGGGGAAGCAAACAGTCAGCCACGATTACTGAAGCACGTCTCCCATGTCCGTCTGTAGTCACCAAGTAGAGGAGGGCTACTGGGAATCGCAGCCGGACTGAGGGGTGTGTAAAAGAAAAAGAAGAAAAAAAAAAAGGCAGGATGGAAGAGGTGAGCATACCTGGAAAAACTCCGGGATTTAAAATAATCGATAAGAGACCCGTAACTGATTCACGAGGTCTCCAACCACGACAATGCTTGATGAATAGCTTGGAGGGAGAGAGCTGAGACAAGAGGTGATTCTCAGTACTCAGCTGGGGGAAAGATGTAGTCGGCTGGACAGAGAAAATGAGGCGTGCTGAAAACGGTGACCACCCAAAAGGAGAAGACGGGATGGGATGGGATAGAAAAGAGAGGATCCAAGGGCGCTAAAATGCGAGAACCACCGCCTAGTGGAATTAGTGGTGGTGGATGATGGGGGGCAACGGTGGATATGGATGTGCACTCGATCAATCAGCTGAGAGGGGCTGAGAAGGCGTCAGCAGCGAATGACAGGGTAATTTAGCTTGAGTTAAAATGGGGAACAGGAAAAATGTCAAGCAGGCAACGGAGAAAAAAATGTATAACCAAAATCAAATAGAAATGTAAAAAACTGACAGAAACAGGTATTTTTAATACACTCCAAGAAAAGATCCGGATCAATGTTGAGGATGACCACCCAGCCTGTTTTTCTTGATATAGAAATATATACTCGTGCGAGAAGAGAAGAGGGGTTGAAGAGGTAAAAAGGAACCGAAGGAAGAGGGAAGATGCTGAGGGAACAGCGGCTGGCGATATACTAATATAATTAATTATCGTATATAAAATGATACCCTCTTATCGGTGTTCTGATCTCCCCTTGGTTGGCGAGCCGCTGTACCCGTGCTCAAGGTCCGTACATGCATGCGTACCGTACGGTACGGGCGCAGCCGGGTACAGTTGGGAAATACTACGCTGTATGCGGTATACCTCGTATGCATCCATGGATGTCTCTTTTCTTTTTTCTTTCTCTCTTTTTTTTAATTGTTTTAACCTTTTACCCCTTTATCTGGAAATCTCACTGGTGGCCACAATGGTTCGTATAGATTAGTCGTTACTCAGCGTGTGTCGACCGCTCCTCTGTCCTTATCAAATCATGAAAGACGACTCTTTTCTGGAAGATTGACCAAGAGAATGAGGGTATCTCCGATGGCGGGGTTGCGAACCTTCTCTATCGCACTCCTGTACCAGTCAATCAGTGTCCGAAAATTTGGGGCATGCTTCTTGGCCCCTTCGGTGAACCATTGGAACGGCAAATATCGATCAGTTTCAGATTGAAAGGAGTGTCATGTCATCAATCAACATAACATCCAACCCAGGAAGTGACATTCTTCGGCTCTGTAAGGTGGAGTAACTTTCCGAGTCCCTCAAGAGCGGGTATCCCGATCGGCCCTTTACAGTGTACATTGAATACCATGATGCAAGAATAGATTAAAAACAATCTATTGATGAGAGGTCAACAGGAAGACGACAGAAAGGCTATCGATGAACCAAGTTAGCAGGTAATTCGTCATTCGTAATATGATTCGTATATGTACTTCTGCCATGACGGCAGATGAGCTGATCACTATGGATTAATTTGTTTTGTTCGTAACCAATTCAAAAAAGGCTTCAACCTCCATCTGCAGGTCTGAAAAGTTTTTTTT